CAAAAATCTAACATTATTCATTTTTATTTATTTATTTATTTATTGTAAAATTTGTAATGCAATATTAGATACGATACGTCAACTCTCTTTAATTTGTTTTTTTTATAATTTTTTAAATTATATGTATTTAAAAAAATTAAGTAAATAAAACAATCATTTTATATACCTATGTATTTATTTTTCATATAATATGAACGATTTATTTAAGTTAGTGTCACAAGCACTTATACTCTATTTTGATCGAGTTGTCAATATCATCACAAAACAAAGAAAGAAGCTATAAACAACAATTTAATTTTTCAAGTCTAGATAAACATGCTTTGGTTAGGTTAAGAGGACGCTTATTAACACAGTATCAACAATTTAACCCAAAGACAAATGTTCTCCACTTTATCACTCTTAAGTTGATAGAGGGAGACATGAGCTAAACTAGCTATTGTTTCATGGGTTAGGTTAAGCTGCAAAACGCGCATGACCTTTTTAGTCCGTAACAATACCGGATAGAGCTAAACTTCTATACAGTTTTATAACAGACATATTAGCAAATTTAGAAAGTATATTACTAAGGCAAAGTCAACAAACATTAAAAGACATAAAAGGACGTTAAAAGACGTTAAAAGACGTTTTAAAGACAAAGCTTCTTTAAGCCGCTTTAAGCGTGTTGCTCGACCAGCCCTTAGTGAGATTTTACTCAAGACCTTATATGCCGTAGTTCTAATACAATCACGTAAACAACGCGATCTGTTTTTATTATAACTTCATATGCTCTTTAAAGTAAAACTATTTGTTTTTATAAGAAATTCAATAAGTATACTTTCGCTATTTCTAATAAGCCGCAAAAAAACTATCCGAACATTACCTCGCTTTATCTAAAGTGCTGAACAAAGACTTAGATAGTTATTGACAGGTTATACCTTACCTTAACGTGGTTTGTCATCACAGCTTCTGCTTGTCATCGTTGAAGCATCGTCAGAATCGTACAGTATCCTTTTAGCAATTCAATAAACACACGATCTACAGATTTACTGAAACGTAATTGATCTCTCGGGCTTATCTTTCTAAGATAATCTATAAGATCCTATCGACCTTACAGTACACAAATGATTGTCAGCACCGCTTATTTTAAAGAAATTATAGAATTGTTGAAGTGAGCTATAGAAGTAACTCCAAAGAGGTAGAATGATCTTTTAGAACATATAATTTAACGCTAAGAAAGTATTGAAATATGTGTTTGAAGTCAGTGGTCTATGCGGACGATTCGTGCCATTAAGGCAAGAATTCGCTGGGCCATTCCTAAAATACAGCGTTAAATAGACGAAATATTGAATGCATTACTTCTGAAATACAGACTTAAATTAGCGAGCATGTTTAACAAAATTAAAGTTTGTAAAATAACTTCGTAAAGTCTTATTGATTTACTTCAATATTTGTCAAAAATAATATAAAATGTAGTTTCGAATTAAAAATATTTGATTTTTCAAACTATATTCAAACTTTTATATATATGCATTATGTACACCTACATATATGTATGCATATTGTATATATAATGCTTAATCGTTTAGTTTGTGAAAAAGTAACTAAGTAACCTAATTTTCCTCACAATTATCTCTTGTGTCTTTGAAGTGATTTATGAGTTTTATATATACCTAACATTAAGTAAACTTTAAAAATATATCATCGTAAGTCAGATAATTAAAATAACGTTTATGATTGCTATTTTAATTTTGCATTAAATATTAAAAATAATTATCAATAAATTGTTCGTGCAATTATAAAATAAAAAAAATACGTGATTGATAAGTAATACTTTATGCTTTTTTAACATTGAACACATAGATAAGTAAACAGTGTAATAACCCGCGTATAACTGATTTAATATTAAAAATAAACAATACCACTTTTATCATAACTCCGATATAATGTTCTTAAGAAAGCTTAAAAGTAATTAAACTTAAATTGTGAAGGATTGGAATTTAATAACAACGGTTTTTATAAAGATTTTTGATTTATTTACTTTTTTGAACAACTAAAACGTAAAGAATAGGTGTTATCTTTAAATAATCATGCAGTTTTCATACTGCATCTATATAACAATATGCTTAAGAGGTTCGATAAGTCTAACTGTAAACATAGTATGCATTTAGAAGATAAATACTTACTTATCCACACAAAAAAATATATAATTGCTCTTAAAAAGCGCAAATGGTAACATTAAATACTTCGCAACACTGTTTTGTCCAGCATGACGAAGCACAGAATGTGACCAAGATTTAATCGCAACTTCTTTTTTCTGTCATTCTCAAATTAATAATTTACATTACAAAGGAATTACAATTCCACATTTGCCGTGACCATGACTGTCTGCCTAACATGACTCAAGAGGTTCATAAAAATTACAGCAAAATTGTGGAATACGTATTTTTCCTACTTATTAATTCAATATTAGTTTTAAATATTTTTATTTTAATAAATTGGATTTTTGCTTTAATTCACATTTAATACAATTTAATGACTTCATTAAATTTATTTATGTATTCATTGTGTTTGTCCAGTCCAATCGTCTTAATGTCTGCTCACGATTTTCTTTGTTGACACAACGTTTGCGCACATTTCCCTGTTTACTTTTGTTATTTAATATTTTGCCGAAGGTTTTCAATTTAACTAAAATTATTCTTAAATGATTTGCAGATAATTTAACATAAACAAATTTACTTTGCTGACTTTACATTTTTTAAACAATTTCTTAACTTTTCTTTAAACAGGCAAAATAAATATCCTAAAACTATGTAAATTTTATTTTAATTTTAATAAAAAAAATATTAAAAATAAATAAAATTATTATTATTAAATTATTTTATTTACCTGCAATAATTCCTTGCATAAAAATTATGAATTTTATTATTCGATGGCAAATTGTCGTTCTGTGCCACTGCAGCTTCAGGTAATTTTTTTCTGTTGTGTTTTTATTGCTTTGACATCAAACAACAATAAAGAACGTAGCACAAAAAGGATTCCAACTGACAGCGTGGACAGCTGAGCGCAGCACAAAAACAACAACGAAATGCAAAGCAAAATGTAATGATTTTACAATTATCAAATTCACTTTTCTTAGTATATTTTTTTTTGTTAATAGGAAATTCACTTTAGCACCATTTGCATTAATAATTTATGTTTAAAATATAGAATTATGCAATTTTAATAAAATATTCAATATATTCAAGACATTGCTTTTTTGCTACACTTAAATTTTTTAGAATTTTCTTTACTAGCAGCGAAATTTCTTTGTGAGCTATTTTTGTGAATAAATTTGTAGACTTCGCGTTTTTATATAATATCGCACTGCTTTATTATTATTATTGTGTTTTCGCTTAGATTTAATTCTATTGCTTATATATTACAAATGATAAAATTAAAATTAATTTTTTAGCACATTTTTACAATATAAATCTAATACGAAGGGACACACGCGACACCAGCGAAAAGACAACACAAACTGTCGGTTGTCAAACATCAAAAAAGTAGAATTTCTCATTGAGCTTAGAGTGACCAGTTGCACAATGTTGCACTATGTTTGCAGAACAGCTGAATAGCTTATTGAAATGTCTGTCCTGTGAACAATGAAAACAAATCAATTTGTTTTATAATATATTATATGTTATTTAATAATATATTGTATTTTACATAAAAGTATATTTGTTTCTTTTTTATTGATTTGGAATAAATAAATAATTTTCGTTAGTTTTGTATGAAACGAAGTTGGTAGCACTTTTTACTCTGTACTTTACTCATTCTATGTTTTCTTATACCAAATGGTTTGTGTATTTGCTAACTTGTATGTTTATATTGGCAAAGAATTCCTTATACATTCCAATGGTTGATTTAATTATACAATACAGTTTCAGTTAAATAAGATTTAAAATATGTGATGAAATTATTTTTGTCATAATAACATACGAACATGATTTTCAAGTGTGATCAATAATCTGTAGCACTTACGAATAAAAATGTTGCGATAACTTTGTATTATTGGTTGATCGCGTACCATTAAGTTCAGACTCTGCCATATCATATCAAAGCATTTTGATTGTTTGAGATTTAGTGTAAAAAATATTTCACAACATTTTTTTAAATTTTTTGTTTTTGTTAATTTTATTGTTTTATTGGTGCCGATATTCTAAGCCACATGTATGTTGCCAGTAGCGGAATTTGGAATGAGAGTGATGGGTGATGGCCCAAGTCGGTAGTAATTAAATGACCTTAGATTCGAGGTATAAATAGTTTTCTATAAAATTTTTTTATGTTTTAATAAACTATAAATAAAAGTCGAGATATTCGATTTTAATTGAACCCAAAATATATATTGTATATTGTTGTGTAGCAACTTTATTAAAGCCATGTGCGAGTTCGAGTAAATCGATGGTAAATTGTGAGAAATAGTAAATTATATTAGTATGGCAGCGAATGTTGGTATTTACCAAAATTTCGAGTGGGGTAAATTAGATAAAAATTTAGTAAATTATGTGTTACCATTGTGAAAATTTTATAAGATGTTTAATAAATAAATAAATAAATTTGAAAAGTTTTAACCAAGAACAATAAATAAGTGCAATAAATATTTACATAAGTGCAATGCAAAAATCCCTAGGAAATTTGAATTTACTTTACCTCAATTTAATCGAAATCGTACATGGCCTATAGGATCCTATATCGTAGGTAAAAATAGTTTTCTATAAATATTTTTTTATTTTTGAATAAATTACAAGCAAATGTCGAGATATATGATTTTAATGGAACCTGAAATATGTTTTGTGTCTTTAAAGATAATTGACTTAGATATACTAAAAAAAATTATGAAGTTGACAAACAAAATATTTTCTTTTAAAATTAAATAAAGAATCTAATTTCTTGATTTTAATTCTAAATATATATAATAGTACAATATAATAAATAACAATTAAGAATATGTTTATCTGAAAGTCGATACTGCCTGAAACCGATTGTATGCCGTTTTTATTGTGGCAGCACTTTTTATCGCCGAAACGATCTTTCCGTTATCAATTTCGCAATCGATAAAAATCACATTCTGATTGGAGCTTTAGCATCTTCAAATATAAACGGACGCAAAATTGTGGAGTTTTGTAAACTAAAAGCAAAACAATGGCACTGACACCGAAGGAATCTGGCGAACATATCGTCAAGAACGCGAAATATGTACGCGTACTACCGGAAGGCATCAAAAAACTAACACAGGAAGTACTTGCCGGCATCTTGGACAAGCGAATTGATGTGAGCAACTTCTCGCAACATGACATGCATCCAAAACCCACTGATGCATATGCCGCGGAGTGGATATTTCTAGTGGATACGCTGAATTTCTGCTTTTGGACGCCCAGTAAATATTATACATAATTATTAAATAAAAAAAGTCCTAATGAATTTCCTTCTTCAAATTATAGCAAATTACACAAAATACAAAGTGAATGGACAAACTGGTTACTTTGCTCTTTGTGCAGCAGTCAATCGGGCAATTGCTGAAGGTGTGGATATAACCAATGCGGAGTTTTATTCAAAAATTGATGCTGAAACGCTACGACACATATTTCGCTCGGATGATGGTGACACAGCTGTGCCATTATTCGATAAGCGAATCTCTTGCCTACATGAAGTGGGTAATCGTTTGTTAGAGAAATGGTCAGGAAAGTTTGAAAATGTGGTACTTGCAGCTAAGAATTCCGCAAAAGAGCTTCTAACATTAATTGTGCAAGAGTTTCCATGCTTCCGTGACGAAGCAGACTTTGCTGGACAACGCGTGGCAATCTATAAGCGTGCACAAATACTTATTGGTGATCTGTGGGCATGCTATCGCGGTGTCGGTTTGGGCGCTTTCAATGATCTTGAGTGCATAACAATGTTTGCTGACTA